TATGTATGTATATGTGCATGTGTGTATATATATATATATATACATATATTATGTGCGTGTGTATGAACACACTTAGATGCAAAGACCGACATTCAGACCTCGGAGTGTCGAAGAGTCCGAGTTCAGCTTTCTGGGTGTAGGACCCTAAACCCTAAACCCTAAACCCTAGTGAGGCTTGACGTGCAAGATCTGAGACGTCACATTACCCTGCAATGCGGGCTTGTCCTTGCTAAGTAGGAGGCAAAAAAAAACCCTAAACCGTTCTGCTTGCTAAGTAGGAGGCAAAAAAACCCTAAACCGTTCTGGGTGTTGGGCCGACCCTTGGGTTCAACAAGACAAGAGGCTCCGAGGCGCAGTTTCAGAAGCCCGGATCTTCAGGGCGGTTTAGGTAAAAGGGACCGTCATTAGGGTTTAGGGTTTAGGGTTTAGGGACCGTCATTACCGGCGGTGGACATCTGCCCAGATTCCCTAGGGCATCAGATGGCACATCCAGTGAAGCAGGTGCTTTGGGTTTAGGAGGTCAGTGTAATTCAGCACTTGGTTGTCCAGGGTTTAGAATCGAAGGAAGACGGAATCTCGTGTAGCCTATTGCAGCTTCAGCGAAGCCGGCGCCGTGCCGCCGTTTACAGGATGATAGCTTAGCACACTGAGGCGCACAGAGAGCTACTTCAGACAGCTTTCAGTCGCCTGGCTTCACCTAAGAAGTCAAAATCCACACACCATGTGCGAAATGCGAAACCTGAGGTCCGCGCTCAAGCGGAGCCTTTGGATTAGATTTAAGTGGTAAGGCTTGTGTTTTAAGACATTGACCCTGTAGCATGTGACATGAACTCAAACATCACACAGCATAAGATAGGCTCTACACAGTGAACAAAGTATGAAAGGGCCTGAGGTCCAACCCTAAACCCTAAACCCTAAACCCTAAACCCTAAACCCTAAACCCTAAACCAAAACCCTAAACCGTTCAATGGCCTTGGGATTCTGATCCCAATTGTGGCAAACTTCGGCTGATCCCGAAGATTGCCATGTAGTCTTTCAGGATTGTCTGCCCAGAAATCTGTAGCGGCCGTCAACACTTCAGGCCATAGAGAGAGGCTTTAGCAGTTGAGGGCTTAAGATTCAGAGCCTCATGAAGTCCATAATGTAGGGGTCCGTCTAGTCTGGGTTCCTCATGTATAATCATGGTACCATATATCGTCTACTGATCAAGGCACTCGTAATGGCACTCGTAATTAAAACTTTCTTAAAACACGTAGTAAAATACATCCCTATTCTCACTCCCCTGGCCAAGGCTATGCGGCGGAACGATTGGGGGAGCTTGATTCCCAGGGCTTGGCCAACACAGGCCAGGGAGACAACTGTTAAGCAAAAGCCGTGTGTTACAAGGGCTCGACTGCGGAAGGAACCCGAAACCCAAAATCCTCTGCAGTAGCTGTTAAAATACCTGAGAACCGAGAGACCTCGTCTGGCGGAGTCCGAGTCGCGAGAGCGCAAATACCAAACCCCAGGTTACATTGCATGTAGAAATCTGAAGTCTCCGAGCTAGGCAAGGAACACCGGAAGAACCTCCCAACCCTAGGGGAAAATGAGCCGGTCTTTGCCTTACGATGGTGCTTCATGTTTCTATAAGGTAAACCCATGTGGCCATGAACAAGATCCATCTGTATTTTGGGTCCAAGTTGCCCCGCGTCATGGTGGAGGGTCGTTCGGGTGTTCGGTTTAGAGACAAGGAACAGGTTTAAAGTAGCCCACCCTTGAAGACAATGCCTAAGGGTCCAAGTAGTCCTTATTTATCGTTTTTGGTACCCAAAAAGGCCCCAAAGTCCTTAAACAATGGGTACTTGGACCCTTAGGGAATGCAAGCATGAGAAACGCTAGGTCACTCATCAACTGATTGAGTTTTTGACAGTAAGTTCCAAGTCCCAAACACCCAAACCCTTGGTGGTTTCAGAGTCCCTAAACCCTAAACCCTAAACCCTAAACCCTAAACCCTAAACCCTAAACGCAGACAAGCCTGTAGCCTTGACCTGTAAACCTCAACTCCAAACCTCGAGCCTTATACCGTTCCACGCCTTCGGAGTAGAACCCGTGAACCCCGACCCTAAACCCACATTGGAAGAAATTCAAGCAAATTCAGTAATGCGGGACCAGAATCCCGTGACTCTACACCCGAATCTGTACTCGCAACCATGCAGGGTGGGGGTGCGCTGCGTTGCTCTCCGTCGGCTCTTCGCCGCTGCAGGCGCTTGGCCCGGTGTTGCGGAGGCGATGGAGGGCAAAGAGTAGCTCTTGTTTGGGCCTATGGCATTTACAGGTTATGGGTTTAGGGCTGCAGGCGCCCTTGGTATTCAGGGAATTTAAGGTTTCGGCTTTTGCTACTTTCCGCTAAACACCTGGTGTGAATGCTGCATGCCTCCCAGAGCCCCGTTAGACGTGTTTCGGGCCCCATTTCTTCGTCCGGTGATCCTAGACACGCCTTGTCGAAGCACTGCAGAGCCAAACAACAGCAAACACAAGCCGAGGAACGCCACTGCGAAGCTGCATTGTGCCCCTGCGAACCTGAAGCCAGCAAGTCCAGAGCCTATGAAGCCATGCCTGCCTGTATGCGAGTGTGTGAGGCAGAACCCCAGTAGCCCTATCGTTCGTCAAGCCTGAAGCCCTAGCGCCCTAGCGGCCCGAGCACGAGGAGGATCCCCGGATTCAGCGCGCAGGGCCCGGCGCAGCTGGGACCCGGTTGGGTGAGGTTTAGGATGTTGGGGTTTCAGAAAATAGGGGACCCTAATATAGTACCCTAAATAGTAGGATGCTTATTATAAGGACCCCAAAACAGGGCACCCCTTATTTTCGGAAACTCCCATGTTGGGTGTTGGGCCTAGGGTTTGGGACTTACGGTATTGCTTTAGAAGTTAGTTTCGGGTGTTAGGGCTTGGGTTTAGGGGGGGTTGGATGCTCGGCTCGAGGCGTTGTCCACAGCCTAACACTTATAAAGCCCGAAATCCGCAAGCCCCCAATCCTGCCAGCTTCATGACATTCGAACTCCGGAGGATGTTGTGTTGAAGAGTATCTCGGATTTAGGAGGTATAGCATTTGGGAGTTCTGGCCTAAGGTGTAATGTAGGGCTGTATTAAATCGCTTTTGGGTTCCTCGGCTAGGATGTAGGATGCAGGTTGACTCTGTGGTATTTGAGGTTGGGAAGTGGCTTTAGTGTTCGCTGTGCAAAAATCCAGATTCAATGGCTTTGGGCTTTGGGGAAACCCCAACCCTAACTCTAAACCCTAAACACTAAACCCCAAAACCCTAACTCTAAACCTCAGACACCAAACCAAAACCCGAATCTCCAAAAGCCTGGGTGGCATTAAAGCCCTGATGTAAGCTTAAGTCTTTGCGCAGTCGCTGTGAGTCGAATGTTGGCCGAGGGGGGTAGTTTGGGAGTTTCTGAAAATTAGGGGTACCTTATTTTGGGGTCCTTATAATGGGGATCCTATTATTTGGGGTACCATATTAGGGTCCCCTATTTTCGGCAACCCCCAATTCGTGTTGCGTTCGAAGATAGGCTCGTAGTTCTCGACATCATCTGGCTCCAATCCTTCGCCGCACTGAAGAGGTTGAGGTTTAGCGATTCTTGCTTTATAACCAAGCCGCAGTCTACGTTACTTTGGCAGTCATATCCTTCTTGGTCTTGGCATCGTGTATGTGAAGGGCAGCTGCTGCCATGGTGAAGGCCGTAGAAGGGGACACGACAACTGCTTCGGCCGTGGCGGCGACTTCACTGTGGTGGTAGAAGAGCCACAATGTGAGGATAGCTGTGGGTCAGAAGTAGTCAAGCGAGTGGAGTTCAAGGTCTGGTCTCAGTTGCTTGCCAGCTGGTCTGCTGTGTTCGACAAGATGATCAACACTGAGGAGTTTGTCGAGCAGAAGAAGGCCCAGGTTATTACGGACTTCTCTAGCGGAGCGACGGAGATCTTCCTTCGTTTCCTCTATTCCGGAATCGTAGAAGGCCCTCTGGAAACCCTCGTAGAAGTTTGCGCGATGGCGGACAAATACCAGGTGGAAAGACTATATACACCAGCTTTGCACACAGGCCTTCCAGAAAGGACTGAACCCTGACAATGCCTGCCAACTCTTTGCCGCTGCCGCTCGCTTCCGGCTTGAAGACTTGCGCAGAATGGCACTCGAGGAGATCTGGGTCAAGGCAGAAGACGTGTTGAAGGAATGCCCGAGCATAAGCCCTGAACTCTTCGAAGAGATCCTCGCTCCCGGCCTGATCTGCATGAGCCATCCTGATCTCAGGGTCGTCTTGCAAGGGTGGAGCTCTGGCAGGAAACGGAAGGCTGGTGAGGAAACGATCTTGTCTTCGCCTTTGCAGCCGGTCATCGAGAGACACTTGGAGCGGTTGAACGATGAAGGTGAACGCCATTTGGCTGCATTTGGGCCACACGCACCGCGCACCGCACCAGAATCAGCCCACTGCCGGGATATCTTCAAAAACCTTTTCAGGAGTTTCCAGGAACAAAACGACGGTACAATGTGCTTTTTGGGCTACTTTCTGATGGTAGTTTTCGGACCGAAGAGCTGGGCCTTTCGTTCGCGAAACCCGAAGCCACGGGAGGAGTACTTCGGCAATCATCGGCCCTTCTCTCTGAGTTCGGATTCAATTGCATGGATGCTGCCTCACGAGTCCGTCTATCTCATGGGCCTCTCCTTCGTCTTGGACATGCCAGAGCAAGTCCACTGCCGGATCTTCTGTTCCGAGGATGGTGTGAGCTGGCATCTCGCTGCAGACTCAGGAAAGTCCAAGATCGAAGCCGGAAGTGCGCTAACCCTGAGCCGGCCCCCTTCCTTGGTGAAGTGGTTCAAGCTCGAGGTTCTGGAAGGCGACTTTCACAACAACTTGCGCATCAGCGGAATCCGAAGGGACGATCTTCCTGCATAGACAGGCCCTCCCACAGGCTAGCCAGGGTGTAACCCGTCCACAAGATTCGCAGTTGCCTCACTTCGGCTTGGCACTCGCGAGTGTCAGGCTTGCTTCGTCGGATGAGCAAAAATCAAAAATGCTCGGAGCCATACTCCCTGAACCTTCAGTCCGGCGTGCTTTGCAGGAGAGCTAGGATAGTTTGTCATGCGGCAGGTGATTGAGACCGTGAAACAGCGCGAGAGGGAGAGAGAGGGAGCGAGATGGAGATGGACATGGGGATGGAGACGGGATGGGACGATTGGATGGGGGGATGTGCTCTTTATGGCATTGGCCCGTATTGATGTTCAGACTTTTGGGCATGGCATCCCAAACCCCCGTCATATTTGTCCAGCCCCATGTATATATATGGGCTGCGTAGTATCCCCCCACCGCTATTGTTTTGCTAAAAGCCTGAACT